TAGAGATATTTGTGCGTCAGCTTTAAAAGTGGAAGACATCATTAAGTTGGACCAAAACATTGCACTCATTCTTTGTAAGTTGGAACAAGTATTTCCGCCTGGTTTCTTTGACTCCATGGAACATTTACCTGTGCATCTTGCATATGAAGCTTATCTTGGTGTATCCGTTTGAAAGGTTCATGGGTGATTCAAAGAGATCGGTAAAAAATAAAGCTAGAGTAGAAGGATCTATATGTGCACATTACTTGCATCGGGAAACATCACATTTTTGCAGTCACTATTTCAATCACTTGATGTTAACTCCTAGAATCATACGGAATCCTGTAAATGTCAATCAGAGGAGTCAATTCACCTTATCAGTCTTTGCGCTTCCAGGTCGACCTTTTGGAAAGAAGGGTGTGCATTGGTTGACCCAAAAAGAAATGCAATCTGCACATGTCCATGTCTTGATCAACTGCGTTGAAGTTAAACCATATCTTGAGTAAGTTTACAAAAACTTTTTAAACTTATGGTGTGTGTATACCAAACTTATTAAACTTATTGTGTGTTTTTTGTAGGGAATTTAACAATGCCTATTTTCATAGTACCGGGGTACAGTCAACATCAGGTGTCATTCATGCTCAATTTCCCTCATGGTTCAAGCAAACATTGTCTAGCGTTCTTGCACTAACTCCAGAAATACTCCATTTGAGAAACTTGGCAGAAGGCCCTATCCAAAGCGCAAATGATTGGCACACATACTTCGTGAACGGATATAAATTTCACACTGAGGCATGGACCGAAGGGAAAAAAACCATAAATAGTGGTGTTTTTGTAAAAGGAGTTACAGATGGCGGTGAAGACGACTTCTATGGATTTGTTAAACATATCTACGAGTTGGTATACAATTACTTGGACACGGAAAATAAAGTTGTCTTGTTTTATTGTGAATGGTATGATCCAACTAGAGGCACAAAGATAGACAAGTCATATGGTTCTGTCGAGATTCAAATGAACCGGAGATACAAAGAATATGACCCTTTCATAATGTCACATATTGTTAGGCAAGTTTATTATGTTCCTTATCCTTCATTTGTAATACGTAAAAGAGGATGGTGTGTTGTAATAAAAACAAAACCGCTAGGTCATATTGAAACTGGAGATCTAGTGGAAGATGTTGCCTACCAAGTTGATGACGTTGAACAGATTAATGATGTGGTTGCAGCTGAAGACATTACAACTTTGTCTGATACAACTGTTGAGGGACTTCAAGTTGATGCGTCTATATTGTTGGTTGATAATAATGTGGATGAAGACAATGATGAAGAGTTTGAATCCGAGGACAATATTACATCGGATGATGAACATGATATGGATAACGAGCATGAAGATTTAGATTAATTAATCACTTAATGTAATATTAATGAATATCTATTGAACATGTATATATTGAATTTGTCAATGAATATATATTTATGTCAATGACTTTATTATCTTTGTTTATGAAAATATATATAACTAGGTAAAATGCCACCGAAGAATAAGGATAGCGGTAAGAAGTCTCAGCGTCCGAGGGTAGTAACATGTGAGTCTCCTCACTCAGCCATGTGCCCACCCCCTCAGAGTCAGGTTGATCTTATGTCCCTGGCCAGTACTCAGGGTTTTGTCCCATTACTCTCCTCCCATACATTCCCGTCTGGGGTACCTGCATCTTTTGTGCCACCTGGAGGCCCCGGTTTCCTTTTCCCACAGACTCAGATGCCGTCTTCCTTCCAGCATGCGGGAGGATCTAGTTTCCCTTTCCCACCGACCCAGATGCCGTCATCCTTCCAGCAGGCGGGAGGATCTAGTGTTCCTTTCCCACAGACTCAGATGCCATCTTCCTTCCAGCATGCGGGAGGATCTAGTTTCCCTTTCCCACCGACCCAGGTGCCTTCATCTTTCCAGCAGACTGGTGTCCCCTCATCATTCCAACAGACGGGGGGAGGACCCAGTTTTCCATTTATACAGACTGGCGTGCCTTCATCATTCCAACAGACGGGGGGACCCACACAAATGTCTTCATCCTTCCAGCAGGCGGGAGGGTCCAGCACCCCACACTCCACACACATTGGAGGACCCAGCAGTCCACGTCCGACACAGGCTGCAGGATCCCGCGCCCCACGTCCTAGACGGACCGGAGGGTCACGCACCCCTCATCCCACACAGGCTGCAGGATCCAGCACCCCACGTCCTACACAGGCTGACGGTGATGCAGATGTCGTAGCTGATGATATAGATGGAGCTGATATTCGTGAGAGAGATGATCCGAGTGAGATTCATGTCATTGACGGGAGGTTTTGGATTTGGCCCGAAGGAAGCAAGTAAGTTTCTTATATAAACTTTTATTTTTGTACATATTCATTTTAATATTTTGTATAAATTTATAATTAATATTGTTTATTCAAAATCTTGTTGTTTAGTTTCGCGCCGAGTCGGACGACTGCCAAGGTTATTAATTATATAATCCAGCAGATGTATAAATCCTCTTGGAAGAACTTTGGCGAGGTTACAAATAAAGAAGAATGGTTTAAAAAATTTAAGGTATTGTTATTTATTTAAGTTGTAAATTTAATATATTTTTTTAGTATTGTTATTTAAGTCACATTTTAATAATAATTACTTAACTTTTTATTTTAATGTCATACAACATTGCAGGAAAAATGTGTGTGGGATCCGTTGAATGAGAAAATTATGGAAAAAATCTATTATAGCAGAACTTCTAGAAGATTTTCTGATATAATGCGGCGGGTTAGGGAGAATTATGAGTTGCATGGTATCCGTCCTAACTGGATAGGCGTAGAGGTTTTTGGCGAACTTCGTACATATTGGGGTTCGCCAGAATTCAAGGCCAAATCCGAAAATTTTAAGAAGATGAGGGCATCCGAAAAGGGGGATGTGTCAATACTGTTGGAAGTATTAGCACTGCAGAGCATGTCCGGCGGATGGTAAATATTACTAATTTTTTAAGTTATATATATTTTTATTCATAATATTTTTTACTAATTATTTTTAACTTTATTGTTTAGACTAAGGAGATGGGGAGACCACCATTGATCATTGAGTTGATTACGAGGACTCGGACAAAGAAATCGGGAGGTTTTGTCGACGACTGCACCAAGAAAGCTTTTGTAAGTAATTTAACTTATGTTTTTTTTTAAGTTAATAACAAAAATAGTGACGTTATTTCCACGTGGCAATCTATAAGTTGTGGCGTGATTATCATGTGGCAACTGATAAATTGTCAGGTGACTGATTTTCATGTGGCAACTGATACATTGCCACGGGAAAATCACGTGGCAATTCATAAGTTGATTTGTGAAAATCACGTGACAAATTTTTAATATATTTGAATTTAGTATAATTTAATATATAAATATTTTAATTTAGCATAAATTTAATATATATATATATATATATATATATATATATATATATATATATATATATATATATATATATATATATATATATATATATATATATATATATATATATATATGTAATTTTTTTTAATTGTATTATTTAATGTATGTGTAGGATGATTATCAGACATTGCTAGCACGTTTTCTGGAACACAATCCGCAATATAGGTCAGCAGAAGGGGAGCCGCTTAATGGTGATGTTGATTTCTATATTTGGAATGAGGTTGTTAATGGAAAATGGCCTAATGGTTGCTTTTTTGCGGGAGGAAATTTGGCCGCCGGCTTGAGAGTTGGTGATCGTAATCTGTTTCAAAGACTTAGAGATGGAGAAGGGGGGTCACGTCAACCGAATTTGACACAGGTTCAACTTGAAACAGTACGACAATTGGCGGCCAGTGAAGTGAGACGCGAAATGGAGGCCCAAATGACGACAATGAGGCAAGAGCAGGAGCGTCAGTTAGAGATCATGCGGAAGAGGCAATCTGATATGGAGGAGCAAATGAGACAGTTTATGCAAGGTGGTCGAAATCAAAATGTTCCTGATCATACACAGCCGGATGATGACGGAATTGATGACTTTGATCTTGATAATTATCCGGGTGAAGATGCCCCGTTAAAACATTTTTTTTATTTCGTTTTTATATTTGCATTTATGTAAGATATTTATTTTTATCATTTTAAATTATTAAATTATGTAACATTTTATTATATGACTTTATTTTATAAAATTCTATTATTCGAAATATAAAATAAAATACTATTATTCTAATAATTTTAATATATAAATTTTATTATATAAATTTTATTATATAAATTTTATTATATAAATTTTATTATATAAATTTTATTATTTAAATTTTATTATATAAATTTTATTATTTAAATTTTATTACATTAATTAATTAATATAAAAAATAATTACTAAACAATTTTTTTAAAAATAAAAACGTCACCTGTAGCGACGTGGGAATCATGTCACAAATTAGTGACATGATTCTCACGTCGCTAATAAAGCTGCTATTATATTCCCTGCAACAAATATGTTGCGACGTGAATACCACGTCACAACTTTGTGACGTGGGAATCACGTCGCTACTGGCTTGCCACTGGCTCCCCAGCGACATAAGTCACCACGTCGCTAATTTTGTTTTGCCACGTGATTTTGATGTTTGCCACGTGATTTTCACGTGACAAATAAGCTTCTTTTTTGTAGTGGTATTTTTAAGCAATGTGAGACTATTCTGTCCAGCTCAAACAGTTGCCTTCAGTCAAGACTAAGAGGCATAGTGCGAGTATGTAGATCCAACACCTCCTTTTAGCACCAATGTTATGGTTGATCTCAAATCCGTGTCATTGCGGCTTCGAGGTATTTTTCGTTTTTGGTGGAAGAACCTTCACAGCTTTGTCCTATAGAAAAAGCGTTTCGTTTCGTTGAGGTATATTATATATAAATTATCCTTAACCGCGATTCTTAAAATAAATTTCATGACTTTGCAGCAGCACTTTAATTTTTTATTTAATTGTTAATATTATTGTAGCTCTCGTTTGTATTGTGCTATGATTACTTCTAATAACTTGTGGAAATCATCATATTGCAGTTTAATTCAAGTGTGTATGACCCTCATCAAATATTTTCCCCAGGTTTTAAGCCTTATCCTATATATTTTATATCATCATCTTTAATTTTTACTATACATATCTCCTTCCCAATTTCATACTTGTTTAGTTGATAATAAACTTGTGTTTTTATTGCGTTTTCATTAAAAAAAAATCGACATAAACACAGACACAACACTTACAATAGACTAGATGCATATAATAGTTATTATGTGCTATGATTAATTAGATTGAATGATACGACACATTTTTATGTCGTATCATGTTTGAATACCGACACATATCGGACATGAATTGCTGGTATATATCGCTTCTACTTAATTGCCTTTATGAACAATTTGTTGCTTAATTCTGGAAATTTTTGTTATGAATTGTAGGCACTCATGAACTTCGTGAGGAAAAGCACAGATGGATTTAGCATTGGCAGTATTCTCCTTGATTTTTCAGGAGGTGTCTTAAATTATTCACAAATGGTTGTGCAATCTATAGATCAAGGTTTGTGATTTTAATTACTAGTAAAATTAATCAAATTATTATTTGACCATTAATATTAGTACTAATTATGACTTAGGAGTTTTAACTTTTCTATATATATATTTAGATTCATGGGTGAATTTCTATGGAAACATTGGTAAAGTAATGATATCCTTGGTATGTAATCTTCTTTACCAAGGCATTTTAAATTTATTTTATTATTATTATTATTATTATTATTGGATTCAGAAAATAATAATTATGTTTTTGAATCACTATTGCAGGTAAGTATATTCTATGATTCAATTTTAATGTGTCAACATTATGTACTATATCGTCACAAGAAAGTGCTTATTACTCCTGAAAATTCTAAAGAAATCAAGAAACCATTGATTAGTTCAAGTCCATTAGATGAACAAATTCATGATTCAGTTTGAGGTTCTTTGAGAATGTATTGTATACAACCAAAATCAATCAATTTATGTAAATCATATAAAAATAGACCTAATCTATTTCGGTACAAATTCATCTCAAATATTAAGTTTGACTCAAGATATAAAAGTTCATTCATACGAAAATCAAGTTATATTTTTTTCTTCATTACACTCATTTTGAATTTTGAACCGACTTGTATGTTGTAGTATTAGCCTTGTATGTCCATCATGCGTTGTTGCATCGAAGATCAACACCATCGGTTCAAGATTCCCGTTTCACCAACTGCATCCAATTCTAATTCTAGGATGGAACAATGGTGCCGTTTGTGGGATTCGACTTCTAATTCTTACGTTTTCCATAATTTTACGATTCACTTTTCAACTCGTCAGTGTTTAACCTTCAAGATCACCAAATCAAGAGTGATCAAGATAGAATACGAAGGTTCATCGAGTTCGATCCAGCCGATCATGGTTTCAATTTCGATCCATCAAGTTTACTAATCTTTAATTCCAGCAAAAACTGAGAAGTAAAAGAATGAATGATCATAGATCCAAATTCAAATCTACGCTAGAATTACCAAAAAATAGAGGTAATTGTCTTCAAGGTCATACTGAAGACTCCCGATCAACCTTCCGATCTCGCGTCACCTCAGTTATCTATTGCTAACGTGATAATTATCGTGACAATTTCAAAGATATGACGATTTTATTGCTACTTGTGGCGTAGATGTGTTACCATATCACTTTTTCAAGATGGCAAAGGATCTCCAAACTTTGAACGAAGGCCTCATCAGGCTATAGATCGCGGTGAAGCTCATGTTGCTACTAAACCTACTTAATGGCAACAAAGTGAAATGAACTTTCAACAAAAGATTATCTGCAATTGAAATAGTGACGACACAAAGTGTTGGACATTTTGACTATAATACACATTCTCCCCATCACTTAGATCTGAAGCGCAATTACTTTTAGCGGTAATCTCGTGGTAAGCTTTCTCTCCCGTATGGGTGATAATCACTTTGTCAAGAAATAAAGATGTTTGAGCATAAATAAGTTCGAAGAACAAGAACTTTGGTCAAACTACAATTATGAATCGTTTGACGATCACAACAGTTTCCTCCAATACAGGAGTTTGTATGAGATAACTCATAGGAAACGTCTTCCAAATATCAATTACTGGTCTGGCGCGACCGAACTACCAGATCTCCATGGTCGGGTCATCATGATAGAAATTCATTGGATAAGCACAGGGAAACATCATCCCAGACCTTGGGACTGGGGAAGAAAAGTTACATAAAAAACACTTCAAGGACGTTAGGCAGTGGAGCCTGGAGACGACCACCTTGATATGAGTCATACCTCACGTACAGGGAAGATGATCCTACCCTTGGCTAGGGAACATTCCTATGTGATTCATATCACAACACAAAGATGAGACCACATCTAGCCAAGTTTATACCCATTCTCGTGGGGAAAACATACATGTTAATACATTGAATGTTAAATACAACAAACAAACATAGATTAAACCAGTGAGCGCTAATTACAACGAACAAACACAACAACCAAGCATGGTAGAAAATAACGTTTAACCCGTTAAACCGTGAATTACAAGATACTATTATTAGGAAATTTCAAAGAGCACATTAAGTACTTTGACGTAATGAGGAGCCTCTTTTCCTCTCGAAGGCAAACCATAAAGGTTGTCACAACCAAAGCATACAATAGTTTGCATCTGCCATGGAACAAACTCGAAATCCACCAGAGAACGCCAGTATTGCCTTATAAAGAAAACAAACTTTAGATTTCATGGATAATAAGCAAAATCTCCAGCTGCAACAACTTGCAAACAACCAAAAGTGCAACACAACAACGTTAAAATGAAGTCAAATATTGGATCCAAAGTTAAATAACACACGACTCACTGAGGTAAAAATATTTTATAAATATTAATTGTCATTATAGCCAAGGCATAAAACCTGGGAAACATTACAAGAAAATTTAAAACAATAAAAAGAAGAAGAGAGTGGTTAAGTTGTAGTTCCCAAAGCTGAAGTACACAGATCACCCTATAGAGTCCCCTCTAGAGCCGCTTGGAAGGGGTTTATCTCATCAAAAGGAATATAAGTAGTAAGGAAGAACCTCCTAGAAATTCTGGCACAAAGAATATCAGATGTCAAGACTGATGTCTTAACAACACACAATGTCACGACAGGTGTTATAACATCTGCAAACAAAAAAATAGAACTTTTACCAAATCACAAACAATGCAGAATTTAAATGTAGAAGGTAAAAGAACATAAGGAATTGTTAACCCATCTCGGTGCAACTCACCTACTCTGGGGGCTACCAAGCCAGGAAGGAAATCCACTATTAGCAGTGTCAATTTGAAGCTAAATAGTCTCAGTTTACACTTATCACTTAATTCTTAACCAGTGCAAATTGTACCTAGGAACCTCATAAATATGAGAACCCCTCTCACTCCCAATCACCGCAGTGATATCAAACAATCTCAGTCCCAGTGAATGTATCAAGAAACCAAAAAGAAGAAAACTCTTACAAGAAAAAAATACTTAGTTTGCTTAAAATCTTCACTAAGAACAATACTCAACTCTTTGCTTAAAAGCTTATGGGGAACAATAACTAGATGAACAAGTAATAATCAGTCAACTCAAATGCATTAAAAGATACATGAGGACGTACAAAAATTACACGAAGAACCTAAGGAACTATCAAACCCTAAACCCTTATTTTTCACAAGGTTTTACAATAAAACTATGCTACTTAAAAAACTTGGTCTTGAACGACTCCTTATATAGACTTCTATCGTTGGGGTTGGACTCTTCAATCAAATATAATCTTCAGCTCTAGATCTCTGCAGAATATTCTCCACGAAAATAGAAACAAAAAAATCTTTCAAATATTTCCTAAAAAGTCCCAAAGATCCTTTTTAAGAAACACATGAAATCTACAATTGTTCCTAAAAATCCTTGATTGCTTGCGCCTGTTATAATTACTATAAACCTCCAGAATATCATATTTTTCAATCAAATATTAAAGGATATTATCCAGCTGTATTTTCATGATGTTCTGTTGCAACATGTTACAACATCTGATAGAACATCTGTCAAATAAGTATCAGCAAACTCTGTTGTACCAACTGGTCAAGATGTTATGACATCTTGTTCAACATTAGGATGCAATGCATTTTCCCAATGAAACATGTTTTGATTGAATTGTCATCAACTCCTTGTTTTACCAAAATTAAGGCCAACCATAAAATCACATACCTAACACTCTCCCCCTTTGGATAATTTTGGCTAAAACAACCAAAATCCAATTAACTCGGAGAGAGGAATAAAACCACAAACATAAGTTACATGAAGCCATGTAAACTCTATAAACATAACACAAATTAGAAGCTTATACAATCAGACAGGTCCAGTACTACCCCCTGTCACGCACAACCAGTTCTACCCCTCAAGGGAAAACCCCTAAATCAGAGCACATGCAGCAGAAGACACAACATAAGACACAACTGAAGCAGCAACAACTTTAGCACAACCAAGCATGACCAATCATTCTCCCCCTGAACGATTGCATAAGCAATCACAAACAGCTACTCTCCCACAAGAAGTAGCATACAGTCCCATCACAATGCTAAAACAACATGTCAAGACATGTGATGTAGCATCAGGACACAAAGCACATTAATACTTTACTCCCATTTTTTAGCCAAAATATTGACAAAAATTGCAGTAAATGTACACCATGGAAACGCGTCACTTTAGAACATATTGCACCCAGACAATACCACAGATGGAAACACACATATTGCAAACCCACAATACTACAGATGGAAACACACATATTTTAAACACAACCTCTTGTTCAACTTCAGGTGGTCTTCCACCTCTTCCCTCTATCAAAGATCCTAATGCCTCTGTCAAAGAGCCTTCTGCATTCCTTGGTGTTATAGCCAGCTCCACTGTCTTGCATAATACTTTCCTTCCATCCCTTCTCAGTAGCAATTTGTTCAGGCATGTCATGCCTTAGAGTATAGATAAAAGATGAAGCATTAGTTGAATTCCTCCATTTATGTAATTTCTACAACTCCTCAATAGTATAATTTCGGATCCCACTATTTTTGGAAACAACAAGTTGTTCCTTGTTGTTCATCTGCTCCAGAGTTACAAACTTCCCTTTAATAAGATTCTTGATCAGTCATTTACAACTGCCAAGTGTTAAACCCCAATTGTCCCCCTAAGATCCCTCATCATGCTCTGTACATCTCACACATAGCATTAGTCCCATGGTTACAGGATCGAAGAGCTTTGACATTAGGGTTTCTCTCTATGAATTGAGTTTGCTATCTTACTCAAAATTGATTCAACTAGTGCTCTCATTATTCTTGGTAAGATATTAGTATTTTGAATCTCAAGTAACATAGACGTCTTCGCTAGTAGAGTTCCTCAAGATACAAGGCCATTTCTTCAGCAATGGTCGTCAAAGATTAAGAATTAGGGTTTCTCCTATGTTATATTTGAGCTTGGTATTAGATCTTCAGCAGAGGTGTGTCATACTAGGCTTTATCCTCAAGGCTATGAGGATCATCATTGTCTCCTTATTATGATTTTACTGACGTCATTTAGGGTTCCTCTCTATGAATTAAGGCTTCTATCCTACTCAATATTGATTTAATTGGCTCTCTCATCATTCTTGGTATGAGATTAGGGTTTTGGTTTACAAGGCATCATGGATACTTTCCTTGAAAAGATTCTTCAAGAATATAAGGTTTTCTTCATCATAGTTTCCTCAAGGAATAAGGGCATTAGGGTTTAACTCAGCCAGAGGATTATGCTTTTTTCTATGGTATACCGGAGTTTGGTATTAGATCTTCATGGAGGTTCATCGTGCTAGGTTTTTATCCTTGAGGCTACAAGGATCACCATCTGTCCTTTATTTGATTAAGTGTGGCTTTGGGTATTCGGCACAATATTTTG